TATAAAATACAGGCAGCATCGTGTGTCAACTTCAGTGCAATGTCCTCCTTCTTTCTATCACTGATTAACTGATCACGCGGTTTAGAGTAGAGTGTACATGTCACGCACTAGACATAACAAAGACAGCTGATCCAGATAAAGGTACAAATCAACTACCATGATGTTAAATAAAACAAGCAGAATACGTCATCGACACTAAATATGATAAAGATAGCTGATAAAGATTAAAAGCAAACAAGCCGAAAAAGATTAAAATCAACTGTACTGGTGTTATGTGAAACTAATAGAATATAGATGTAAGTATATCTCACTGAAAACACATACATATACTGTATGGCCGATTATTTTTTGCCGATCAAAACTTTTGCGATTTTCATTTAAAATAGGAGAATTAAATTTCGGCACATGAAAATTTTACGATCTGAGTAAAAAGATGATATCTAGTTTTCTCGAATATTGCTTCCGATGTCAAATTTTCTTTATATGATTGCTGACTTATCAGTGAAACACCAGTATACATAAACACACAAGTATTCTATAGATACAACATGTAACAATGGATCTGTATTATGTCATTTAATCCATACGAAACAAGTGTAATTGTCGAAATAGTTTTGGAAAATCGGTCCTTAGTAAAAGGCATATGTGTTTTACTTACATACTGAGCAAGTACTTGTTTTGTAAACAATTTAAGAGCTCAAATTCTATACACAAAAGTTCTGAAGTACAAATCGAACAATATCGGAGGAGTACGCGTCTTCTACTATACGATGGCACTCATTAGGTCAATCCAAGTTACGTTAGGATCCAAAATGAGAACCATAAAACGTTTAATTAGGCTAACAAGCACATGATTATTATTTTTGTCATAACGTAATCAACTTAAAGCTTCACGGTCTATGTATTTGTGATGCTTCGAATTTATTGAGGAGTTTGTCGCCAATTTTCTTGCACAGTTGACCATATTTGGTCAAGCATCATCTTAATAAGTTATCCGATATTTCAGTTTCATATTTGTCAAACACATCAATTGCTCAAAGATTAACTCGACTGCTTGCATAATTCAAAAGTAAAACGTACATTTTTTTGCATGCTGTTCAACTTCCTGCAGTCACTTTTCATACATTTTATTTTGGTGCATAAGTGGAATTTGGAGTACCAAGTAATTTAGACTTGTTTTGTCGGATGTTTTTGTATGATTCAAATACATTTATTATCGGAGCTTGGGCTTTTAGATCTATTCTCACATTCAGATTAAACCTTAGATTGTTTTTGCACACTCAAATATAGAAGTGTTTTGATCAGAAAATTATCCGTCGCTGCAAACATCATATTTTAGGAGTGAATTATTTTGACTTATTCAAAGGGAAAATTTATAACAGAGAAAATGAAATCACCACGCAATAACAACTGATGTAAAAGAGTCCGACATTTTCTATATCGTATCCGTTGCGTTACAAGGCATCCTTTATGTATGATGAAAAAGGGCATCGTTAAAGGAACTGGCAAGGTCTTTGTTATCTGTATCTACCTTTGTATTTGACCATCTGTACTTTATCCTATTTTAAATGCAGAACTAATGTAAAACATACGTTCAAGTTTTCATTTTGATTGATATCGTTGTATTCAGCATTGTCGTATTATCTAAGGCATCATGAAAACATATAAAATGGTTTATATTTGTGTACATACACATGTATAACAACAGATTTAAAATCAATATATGTTGATTGAAATAGTATACAAATACGGAAGATTTTTTTTTTGTTTATAATGGAGATACGGTCCTATTTGTGTTTTTTCATGTATGAGACTGTGCTGTAAATTAAAGTAATTTGAATCATTGGGCAGTAGGGATCTTCACTCATAGCATCGAGAAATGAAGATATTTCCCCATCATATATAGTACAGGCTCCGTCTATGCACACAGATATGAACGCCCCATAGCATTGACTTAGGGTATGCAGCAACGAGTCTCTTTAATAAATGTTTACAATATTAATTTGATATATATCAAAATAGATTTTGAAAGTATTAACGTATTCTGAATATATAAAACATTCCCTTTATCCATCCATACGCTAACAATCCATTCTAGGAGGACCAAAACATACACGTTTCTTTCTTAGAGTGTTAACCAGTTGAGTTTACATAGACTTTAGAGTTGCTGTTCTGGGTGAGATCATTAATACTAATAGATTTCTGGGCATTTTAAAAAAATCTTCCTGTAGATCCAGGGCCCTTAACTCTTGTACGTTCTATCAATTCAATATAAATGAAAGGGCCAGGATAACTTGTAATTTGTTTCAATCTCTTCAATCATTTCATAAATATATATTTTTAAAAAATTCTATATTGTATTTTTCTTACTTACAAAAAATAGATATATGTACCGTCATTGTGCATAAGCTTAGGCATGTTATAAAATATTTGTATTTAAACCGTGCTTTGGTTATATTCCGGTATTTGTGATAAAAATGTAAACTAATTGTCAAATTGTTCTTTCATTCACAGGAACAAAACCCAACCATAAAGCTCTTTGCGATTACACCATGAATTGTCTCAAGGAACTACAATGGTATCTTCCAAATACCCAAGTAATATGGTCTGTGCACAGCACACTAAACCTCCAAACTCCCAGGAAACAGAAAAAAGTGAGAGTTCTAGGCATAACGAAAACAGCATCAAGAGAAAACCCCAGGTCTGTACAGAACTGTTCATCAGTTTTATGAAAATTGCAAAATTTGCTGAATTATAGGACTGTTACACTTTCTCCACCTTGCTTTTACATTCCTTTCGAAGAATTTGATTCCCGCAGCCGCTTAACATTCAGGCCATTAAAATCACTGTCATGATATCGTAGGACAAAATAAGATGCAGTTAAATTCACTGCTTGACTCTACTTCTGTAACTGCATTTGTATAAAATAGTGCTATTAACTTGTGTGTCTTTTGCGCAATTTTTAAGTTTAAGATAGACTATGGGAATTCTCGTTATATTGATATAATTTTTTTTATATATTGTAACTTGTTTAAATTCTTTCTGTTGGTTCTAACATGTGAACAGTATTCATCGCATTGATTTTAGTTTTAATAACTAACACTTGTATGAAGATGACGAAGAAAACACATATTTTCATATATTTATTTTGATTCTCAAAAATTCTTTCCCAAAGCAGACACCCTATTTTGCATATATGCATCCCCTGTATACCTTACATTAACATTTAAGGTATGATACTGTAAGAATAGTTTCCTTCATTTAAGAAAGGTAAAATTCGAAATGGTATCACGTCACCAAAAATATCATGAAGATTTTTCTGCCAGTCTCCTCTGTTTTTTTTTCTTTTCCTGTTTCTCTTAATAAGGTAATATATGTGTATTTTTTATCAATGTTGCAAGCTAGTGTACATGTGAGCTGTGTGATGTCTGAGTGAAAATGATATGCTATGAATGTAATCAATACCATATATTGCTGAAAATTCTGAATAAAAAGAAAATTAAAAAAAAAAAAAAAAAAAAATCACGAAGGTTTCACAAACAAATAAATATCCAGATGCAGATATGTTCCACTTCGACCTAACCGTAAATTCTGATAAGCCTTTTGGCAGGCTAATTCAGCAGATGAAAGAAAGTGGGTCTTATTTTCCAATGCCAGCCAGGAACATTCCATCAACTTGACATGGTCGTTTACATGGTATTTATGATTACGATACCCTTAAAAATAAAACCATATATGATTCTTTTCTTGCATAGGCTTATCGTAAAGTGTTGTTTTTTTCCTGAAATGTCTCAACTCCTCGGAACTCAAATATCTACACGGAGACTCATGCAAAAGCACAGGGAGAATAAGATCAGGTGTTCCGGAAGAGAAAGCGTCTTCTGTTTTATCAACGACATCCGCCATGTTAACCTACGTAACAGCAGGTGAAGATCTGAGTTGTGTTGTTCGATGAGAAAATGGCCGGTCTTTGCTGACGTGGTTGAGCCTTTTGGTAATCACTTTACCATACTGGCTCTAAAGTTCATTATATAGGTCTCCCATAGGGTTGCGTCACTAGCTACCACAAGGAGACACCGCCCAAAATGAACCTGACACGTTGTACAGGACAATAACCACAACATACAAATTGCTATAATCTAAAACAGAATACTATTATTCCTATATAATGAAATAATAATAATTGTTATTAACAGGGGAATACCGTATAAATGGTTATTTTCGCGGGGATACTATTTACGCTATTTCGCTGTGTATTAACATGACTGCAAAAATAATCCGTGAAATACTAAGACATGGCGTTAAAGATGTATTTAACATCCAAATCGCGAGAGGTCCTTGTTTATGATGAAATCTAATCGTTTTAAATGAAAATCACCCAACCAGCTATACGATACCGCAGAGAAATTGTCATTTAATTGTAAAATAAATGAATTAAACATATATATATAATCAGTTTGACACCATATTATAAAAAGTTTAAATTGATTTTCATTATTATGATTTTGATGTTTATTTGAAAATGACCCCCAGTTATGAGTATGTGTACGTATTCCATCCATGAGTGGACGATTAGCTGTCAAGTAATAGCTTGCTTGGCAATGAAGTTAAAAATTCTAGTTTTTAAAGGCACTTACCGCTCAGAACCCAGGGCATTTAAATTCAAATGTAGTTTGTGTCTACCACAAGTTTGTATGGTGTGATATGTGTAAGATCCTGATATCGATCAAACAATACAATATAATTTGATTTAGTTACATGACATTTGTTCTCCGTTCCAATTATCGACCCCTGTTAAAAAGACGTGTACTGCAAATACCTAACCTACCAAAGCCATGAGAAGAGATTATCGATTAGTGCTTGCATACCACCGCGTCTAGATGGCAGCGTTCTAGTTTGCTACCCTTTGTGTAAACTCTCAAGTGACTTGCTCTTTGTTTTCATTAGGACATACATTCAGTAATGTTTTAAGGTCTGATAGAAGAGAACACGTCTACAGAATGGGATCCACTCCCTCCTTCCCTCGAGTGTCTATCCCGAAGGATAACATTTCAGTGGTTACTGGAGGAAATGCAGGTAATTACAAGCTATGACAGCAAATTGTGATATTGACCTTTTCGTTTTGGCATGGTACATGATTAAAAAAAGATGAACATTCATGACTTCGATTAGTCAACATAGATTTCAGCTGTATATTGTTTGTAGTGCGATTTGTAAAATATCATTTGCTTGTTAAATCCACTGTTGGGGTGGCTTAAGATTTTCAATATACTTAAATATACTTATACTCTTATATGTTTAGTTTTCATTATGATAGTGATTACGATATATATGACATTAATCTAGTAGAGAGCGTACTTTCTAAATAGGACACTTCTTCTCGATACGTATAACAGTAGCTAAAAATAAAGAACCATTGTACACAAAGCATAGCTAGACAACTGGGTTAGCTTTATATATACACCATAAAACGGAAGTCAGCACATGAAGCTGTCATTAACACCAACACTGAGCATGAGAATTGTCTAAATGCTTTCTTTCTTGAGAGTTTTACTGTAAACTGATATCAAATATACGTTTTGTTGATGGACATTACAATGTCTCTTTTAAATTTAAAACAATATTCAAATAGAGACAAATAAAGGCTAGTGACCTCTCCTTCTATATCACGTTATTGGCGTAAATTTATTATTTAATTCCCTCTCCTAACTGGTCCTTCAGGATCTTTTCACTTTCGAAATTTAGATAATCATACGGTACATTTCAATTACATTTTAAAGACTGAACCCTGCAAAATATATGCAATTTTATCTGGGATTAATTAAACACAGCACAAAGAATATTAATAGCTATATTTGTATTCAATATTTCAGGTGTAGGCTATCATACTGCTAAATGGCTAGCCATGATGGGAGGTACCGTTATCATTGCGTGTAGATCTGAGGAGAGAGCTAAACAGGTAAATATCAATTTGACAAATGTATAAGATACCGATATATTGATTAACTTACAGCATAGATATTTGTTGAATTGTTTATGAACTCGATAACTCTTAATAAATACACAACGAAACAAAATCTAACCTTAGGTCCCTTGACTATCAAGTGCAAAGATAACATCGATGATTAATAAGTATACCGTATTGTTTAATATTGGTATAGCTTTCGTCTCCTTGGTTACAAAAACAACAGGTAATGGATGACATTTCATAGTTTAAAAATAACACTTCCTTGAAACCAGTTCACAAAGTAAGACTACCCTGTGAATATAAAGACATGATGTTTGTTCATGTAAATATTTCAATCACAATATAGCTTGTTATTTGTTGATTTAACGAATTCCTTTAGTCATCGAATTGTTCTTTTTCCCTACTCGTTAACCGAAATGGTTTTTAAGGAAACATTTTCAAAATGGGAACCATTTTCAAAACATTCCGTAAACACTTTCAATATAACACTGAGGTTTGTAAAGGATTCGTTCATTTTGTCACACTCGTTAACTCTTTACAAACAAGAGCGATTTCAACAGAAAGAGTTTTTATAGATAGGACAATGCAATCATTTCACACGGAAAAAAAATCATTATCTCATAAGCTATGCTTATGTTATAAATAACAGCTCCTATATCAGAAGCAGCTGATTTGAAAAAAAAAACCCTGTTTGAAAAAAATTGATAAAAAGTAATGCAAGCTAGGTGTACCATGTATTGTTTTAGGCTATACAACAAATGAACCAGGAATTTGCAGAGGAAAAACAAAAGAAGACACCTGGGGTCGTTGACTATGATGCACTGAATCTTGAATTCATGCCACTAGACTGCAATTCACTAAAATCAGTGGTGAATTTCGCACAGGTGTACAAATCATCGGGCAGGAAACTACATAAGTTGATATGTAACGCTGGTATCGGCCTTCAGGACAAGTTATGTAAGTGTGATATAGACATGGAATACTATTTTATTTACATAATCGGTATATAGTGTGCAAGAATATCACCAGGTTTGAAATAGGTATATACCAAAATAACGAAACATATAAAATGTTTAGATAAGTACTTTAAGAATATGGCAGTGTGTTCCGGAAGGATACGATTAGTGCACATAAAAAAAAAAAAAAAAAAAAAATCCTACAAAATTTAGATATGAATATATACATGTACATTTTGTTTCAAGTTTACAATTTTGAGAAATTATTGATTCCAAACAGCTGAATTACATGGTTATTGCACCTTCGGATATAGGTTTCGATATTTCTGGCAACCACTAACGATTCTCCTCAATTTCCAAAATTTCAATACTAAGCAAGACCTTAAGACAAATCCTAAAAGGAAGTCCACAACACAACAGCTGTATGATGTAGTTCATTTCATTGTTAAGTGATACTGTATTTGACTCTAAACTATTTTTTTATCAGAAGTGGATATTATGATACATTTATATTTATAATATTATTTATTATAGATATGTACAATACACAGGTTCTTATGATGCATTTTGTATTATGAGTGTTTTTAGTTTGGAAGGAACTGGTATACTGCTGTATTTAATTGATGACTTGATTACACAGATATAGGTTTCACATTTGTCTCTTTGAATAATATCCGAATATACAGGTGCACGTATCTATTAATGTATTAGAAATAAGGCATATATTTTTCAGCCCACACAGAAGATGGCCATGAGCAGATTTTTCAGGTAAGTAAGGGATGAGAAGTCAAAAATAATATTAATAAAAGCTCTAAACAATTTCGCTTTTGAATTTTTTTATCATTAGGATATAATATGACGTCAAATATATTTGTTCCTTAAGCAGTTTAATCTTATTTCATGATATTACTATAGAAAAGGACGCTTTATTTAAAATAATGATTTGCAATTCCAAATTTAAACACATTGAAGTTGGTTTCATGCAGGATATCAAAATAATTAATATTTATGTCGACAAGGTGAATTACTTAAGTCAGTTCCTGTTGGCATCACTTCTACTGCCGGTAATGAAAACATCCGGTGCGGACTGCAGAATAGTACTGGTTTCTAGCTTGGCCCATGAATATACTCACTTCGATCCTACGGATATCGAAGGAAAGAAATATTCAGAACCGAAGTATGACACCGGGGAAATATACGGCAGATCAAAACTATACCAGGTAGGTAACACTATTATGACGTAGTTTATGGAAGAGTATGGACTAGGGCACAGTTATACAAATTGTGTTTCATTGATTATTTCATAATAACCATGATTCACATGTTCTCTTTAAAACAAAAAGTGAAATAATCTTTCCGAAAGCGAGAACAAACACTTCGTTTTAAGTTAAAAATCAAAGAGGACGAACATCCTTTGGAATTTTTAAAGCTGTGTGATGTTTTGAAATCAATTTGTCTTATTTTGAAGTTGCTTTAAAACACACATTCATCAGGGTACGTTTCATACTACATTTATTTAGCGTATTTGGACATAACTATTGCATGGTTTTAATATCAAGCCAAAACGAATCTATTTACTGAAAGAAAATTCGTCAATATGAATTCCGATATCAGACATGCCAAGGAGTGTACCGTGTTGTCAGTTCGTTAAAAGGTCATAACAATGACAAGTAAATATCACATGTGTCCACTTTGTGTATTTTTTTTTTATTGTGGAACTATGTGTATTAAAAATAATTTTTGGGATTGACACCAGATTTGCATTGATGAAAATTAACATTCGTAAAACGTATATCAATGTTCTGGTACAATTAATGAAGGAGTAGTAGGATACTGTTTACCATATTATTTTCAGCTGTATGAACTTTAAATGTATTTATGAAGACAACTGTTTTGATTCAGGTAATGCAGATGTACCGGTTGAATCAGGCTATTAAAAACACTGACGTAGCTGCCTTATCCCTACATCCAGGCTTTGTCAGAACGCCCCTCCTTACTACTTTCAGAAGGGGACCCGCAAGGGTTCTGTTGGCCTGTTTGGATTGTGTTGGTAAGAATTGCAATACAATTTGTTTATCTGTATTTATTCAACACAAATTTTACGTAATACTCACAATTTGGTCCCTCTCTAGAATTAATATTTCTTCTAAACAAGTCGAATGATAAAGTACTTCATATGACAGGACAACATAGAGAGAATTTGTATTGAATCTGTTTTATTTATCTTAAAATTGTTGTTCACGGCATGAGGATACAGTTGCTATTTCCCAAAACAAGGTTGTTAAATCAGACATAAGAAGATTAAAAGATAGGTCATTACATAAAGTAGTTGAAAATATCATACTTAAGACAATGATTGTAACAAATTTCGACTTTCAAAATAACAGCATGATAACCGTACCTATATGTATCATATCATGTCAAACGACATAAAACATGTGAAAAATCTATTTCGTTTGATGCATGCTCATTATTATTACAACTATTCGTCTTTCAAATCTGCTTACGTGTCCATGGCCATTAAGAATGCATCTGGTAATGATAATAAATATTCACTTGACTTAACCAATAAAGGCACATCCAAGAGTCCATTTGAAGGAGCATGGACCTCACTAAATGCGGCTGTTAATCCGGAACTGGCTGGAGTACGAGATGTCTACTTCTCCGACTCCAGACCAAAAGAACCGACATCAGCTGCCAAGTAAGTCATCGATGTGAATACATATGTCGCTCGGAGTACAATACGCCTTTATTAAGTGCTGTCTTGGTTGTTGTTATGAAAAGAGTTGTAAAAATTTAGTAACAATTTTCTCTACCTATTTTAAAAATTTAGTAACAATTTTCTCTACCTAAAAATGTTATACATCAAACAAGATGAATAAATCTGACAAATTTAGTCACTCAGCAAGCAAACGACTACCGATATTATTATGACAATGACTGATGATATAAATATTGTTTGTTCGCAGAAACAAAGCATTCCAGGAGGCTCTTTGGGATTACACTCTGGAATGTCTCAAAGATTATCTCCCAGAAGACATCCTTAGAGAACTAAAATAACACCTCTGAAAGTAGAAAACCTGAAGGACGATATCAATCAGAAGAAAAATTCTCCATCGGAATACATTTGATCTGAAACTTTCTATCATATTTATACACAAATGCTGTGCTTTGTGTAACGCTGCCTTACTTAAGTAGCAAATGCAACTTGCATATCTATACAGTTGTTCAAGATCTGAAAAAATACGAAACTGAGTTTGCTAGCTTTAGAACTCTTTCGAATGTAGGTTCCTACTCCGAATACAAATTATACGTTTTTAACGTATGTTGTAATATGAGATGACGATGGAATGAATTATAACCTAGAGGACTGAGAAAAGGTGAAAGTTCCATAACTACTCCGTGCAACTGAATTAATTTATTTAAATATTATGACTTTTCAAGTTAACCACTGGTGCTATATGTCTATTTTATCAGTCTTTTATGCACATAATGTGCAATTTTTTTTCTTCTATTAATTGACTGTTGAAAACAGACAAAACATCTGAGGTGAAGTTATATTTATCATCTACATGCACTACATATATATATAACGACGATATGTGCATATTACGTTTTGTGAAATCAATATAAATTAAATGTAATTAAAAAACATCTTTTACGAAAATGGACACATCTATTTTTGTCGATACATTACTATTTCCATGGAGCAGGAAAGCTTACCATTGTTTTCATGAATCTGCATATCTGGTAGCGCTGTTATAAGTTTATTTGTCAGTAACCCGAAATCTGACAGATCTTGAAAGAAAGTCTCTGATACCAAAAGGCTACAATCTAAAAATACAATTTCAAAATCCAAGGGTTTTTCTCTCCCGATTTACAACTTCTAAACCCAAGGTTATACTCTCCACAGACATATCGAACGGTGTGTGGAATGCATGTGATAACGACGATTTCATTCCCACAATTATCGTTTGATTGCCGACCCAGGACTGAGTCTCTTATTTCCCTTACTTTATAAAGGACAGGAATAGCGATCTCTGCACAGAAGTTTGTATTCCAAAGGAGAAATAACTGAATTTCTCAGACATGCCTCTGAAGGAATCTTTATAACAGCAAAGTCAATGTAAACACATCCTGAGCAATTTTTTAAAGAAAATATGAGGGTGGGTGGGTGGGTGGGGTGTCTGCTTGTCAAAGACTACTACGTACCGGCCCAAATTGTATCCGTCCTGCAGAACTTCATAGAAGTTGTCCATGCTACCATCAGTACTGAATGATTCCCCTGTGTTCTGTTGGACCCATTGCTAGTTCGATTACTAATACAACCTGTTTTTCTCATAGATTCCTCCTTATAGAAAAATGTATATCTAACCAAGACTCTTTCATTAATCGTTAACGGAAAGTAGCATCTGCTATGTATGATGTGGTGATAGATTGACCGGAATCCCCCGGGAATTTCGACGATATATTTTACTGCGGTGCTTGATAACACCACCCGAGTCCAAATCCTTTGGTAATCATTACAACATTTTAGTACTTCAGTTGGTTGAACAAGACTTTTGAACAAGAAGAGAATAATTCTGGCGAATTCACCAATATGCTATCTCCTCCTGCCCGTATCTGTAGCTTTCATTAAATGTTCATTTTCTCCAACAAATCGTATAAAAGACTTTTAAATGAATACACGAATATCTCCTGTCAATAGTACATTAGTACCTGATACGGTGTAGAAACATAATCAAGCAAATCGACTCTCAAGGGAGATTTGTTAATAATGTTAGCAAGCTTAAGTGTTGACTTGTAAACGTCGAGTGAATCTGATAGCTTCTGTCATTAGAAGACTTAAGTGGAAAAGTAAAAAACAAAGTAGAGAAATCATATTCTGCCAAAATAACTAAAGCGCCTTTTAAAAGTGAACACCTAGCAGAGTTTACTCCTTGCAAGCAATGCATCGTGCAAAAGAAAACAAAAACAGTAAATAATATGCATGATACAAAGCCATTAGATACGTTTGATATGAAATAATGAAATAAATTCCTTCATAAGTGTCTTTGTCCTTCAAAGACTCGACAGTGATCCTCACGACCTAAAGTATTGAAAAACGTGTCAACATAATCATAATCCAAACTCAAATTCAACAAAACTAGGTCAAAATACACATATAGAGTCATGACAAAGTGAAAGAAGATTTTCCTACTGTATCCGAGGGTCCATATATACTAGAACACAAAAACTAGACGCAAAAGATAGGGCGCTGGCTGCCAAAATGAAAGCGCGCCTTAGAGTTACAACAACTTTGCTCTGGTGTAAAAATGACCCAGATCTTAGCAGAGGGGCCAAGTCACTATCATCCAAACTAAATTGCTACTGCTGATATTTGTGACTTTCCAAAGTTAGACATGGGATACCCTCGGACAATATTATGTGGCACATACGATCTACCAAATATCACTGGCAGCTGACTACATAAGTGAGCATCTCAGTAATGATGCTGACAACGCGATCTGGATATATCGGCACTCACGAGACACTGTACAATGTCACATCCACTCAAGGCATAAGAGCAGTTTAAAGTACAACTTTAAATCCAGCACGACAGCTCCAAAGCCATTTATCCAATAAAGGATTATTATTGTCTGTGTCCTACTGGACAGACAATCAAGGTGGTATGTGACAACGTAGCCAGTATCCTGTATGATCAAGACGATTTGTATCTGTAGGATGTAGACCAACACTGACATGGCCAATCAGATTCTGGGACGAAGAAGCCTTCTGGGATTCTAGATTAGGTGTGTTAAATGTGTAAACCATCTAAAATAATTTAGCATTCTTGTTAGAATATTGATTCAGCGGTTGTAAGGACGTTTCATTTTTGTGATTATCAGTGACCATGAGGGCCACTTTGAAAGTTGAACTTTCACTTTGGCGGGTTATTAGTGTAGGTGACCCTTTGTGAGCCTAGTCTCTTCGTACTTATAAAACCAAGTGTAAACATTTGATTTCAGTTCACTTTGCAACGCTTTTCCCCTTTACTCGCTTTTCCTTAAAAAGTGCATAGCAATATTGACAAATACATTTCAATTACTTTGCACAAAACTTCTCATTACTTTTTAGGCAGTCTACTTTATACTGTTTGAAGATGTTTGACCACATAATTACGAATGGACTCCAATAGGAAGCAGTTTTGCTCTTCAGAAATTTTTTAAAAACTTAAAAAAAAAAAAAATAGATAAAGAAATGATATTGTAGACTTCCCTCAAAAAACATTCATTCTTTTTTCAGTTTTGGCACAAAGGGTGTTTTAGTGTTGCGTACGTACATGATTGGGCTTAAATGCTTATCTGTAAATGTACGACTTAAGGGACTACCAATAACGCATACGGGGTGTTTTATTTAATTCTTATCGAAACCTCACCTTTCTAAAGTGCTATTGACTTTTGTATCGTTTATACAATCTTCTGCTGACGTGAAACGCAATATGCTATTCTTTAATGAGGATTATTTGAAGAGTTTATCGCGTGACGGTTTATAAAGAAGGCAAATAATTCAACCTTTAAACTGTTGATAACCGATAAAAGACTGAACACTGTGATTAAATGATCAGGTCTTGTGTCTTATGAATCAATATATGCCATGGGGATATCTACATCGAGGTATTATGCTCAACATTTTATGAAATTATACGAATGTGACGCGGCGTTTTGAAAAGTGAAGAATTAATTATCATTTAAAATTATTTTCTGCTGCAGAATAAGTTAGTTCAAACTATATGGCTACTTGTGTATAGGAGGACAATGTACTGACGTCATTAAAACTGGCATTGATGACGTAATCATAGTGCTAGATAATTGCATGAAATAAAAAACATCCTTCAAATTGAGTTCATGCAATATCCGTATAAACGTCATGAATTTATCAAGTATAGTTTATTTTCATTTACCGTAATTATAATTGAACACAGAAACAATAGTCATTCATTTGTCAAATAACAGAAATAGTTAGTGTGTTTTCTCTCTAGAATGTTTTCATCTAGTGTGTTCCTACAATTTTGTATGATAACGATGTATTAAGGATTGTAAGCGAGGCTATCAACACATACTGGTCTGGTCTCTAAGATACCAAACCTTCTATCTTAAGCGACCTATATTTAATCATCAGGCGGAATCCTCACGTCACCTTATCGTATTAATAGCACAGATTTGCCTTGCGTTTTCGGTGCGTCTTTAATAATCAATTTGATCGTAATGTTTCGTCTATTGTATCATTGAGAAAGTGTGAACGACTCGTAAAAATATCAATGTTTTGTCACACTCACGAATTCATATAAAATTAAACGGTAAACTATTATTTCTTCTACACATGACAACACAGTCTTTATTTTCGTTTCTGACTATACAACAAATTAACCAAGAAGAAAAATAAAAAAAAGGCTCTGACTGCAGAATTATCCAGTATAGGCCATGAAATGGCTCATTTCGATCTTACGGATATTGAAGGAAAAAGGTGTTCTCAACCAAACTATGATGCGGAGAAATATCCTGTAGATCGAAACTCTATCAAGTAGTTTACAACATCTTCTTTATGTAATATATTATGATAGTTTTTTTTGGAACAAAAGCAGAAATTAGATTTCTGTTTTAGTTAAGATTATTACGGATAAAAGTACCAACATTTCAACAAATTCAATCAAACCATGGTGAAATACAATCAAAAGGATAGATTTACACTAGGATCGCTGAAAAAGTACAAGAAGGATAAGACCAGACGTTCCGGAAGATACCTGAAGATAAAGAAAAGTTAAAAAATCAACTAAATATCGCTAAAAATTATTTTATTCGATAACTCAATGCAAACAGGAAAGGAAATCAAAATGATCAGGTAAAGGGAGACAATTCAATATATGTATACTTTATCAGGATAAATAGAAGTAATTACAGGAATTATGATTGATCTGTTCAACAGTTCGGCCTGTTTTTATTGATTTTATCTTTCACTTACAAATTATTTCGCCTAGTTATATAACACAAACATATCGAACAGTAAGCATCAGATTCGGACACCAATGAATGAATGCAGCAAGATTCCTTTTATGATAAGCCACATATACTATATTTAAATTATCTATTAGATCAGTATATTAAATATGTTACTTATACTTTTAATAATGTTACAGTTTA